GAGGGCGGTGGCCAGTACCACTAAGGGTCATCGCACCACCCACGCGCATGTCCAGTAAGTCAGCTGGACCATGCCCAAGATCACGGTGAACGTGGCCAGCCAGTATGTCCAGCGAGCTGGCAGGCCTATGGAGGCACACAGGGTGGATTTCTCCTCCGACTGCTCACACTCCATCCATTTTTCTGCTCTCCTAAATCCAGGCGGAAAGTTCGGGACCGTGCAGAATTCTAACTGTCAAAAACAGAGACAATCAACCATGTCTCCTGCGCAGTCTTCGTGCCAATCGGGGCGGCTTGAGCCAAAACCATTGTTACATTCAGCTTGGCTCTTCGGAAGGGTCATGTAACCAGCGCGCCACTGGACCAGAGAAGTTATTGTTGTCCCGACCATGTTCAAACTGATCCTTAGACAAACACTCTTTATTCTCTGTTTGATTCTGTTTTGACACATTGCCCTGCAAAGTGCGCCCTCGTGTGCCCCCTGCCTCCTCCGGGTAGAGGGTCTGCTTCAGGCTACCTCAGACACTTGACCATTGGGGAGTTCTGCACGTCAACAGGCAACAGTACGAAAAGAATCCTCTTTCGCAACAAGGCCCGTGGGTGGAGCGGAAGAAAGAACAGAGATATAGAGAAAGAGAGAGAACTCCTTTTGGATAGTGGGCTGGTGCTGGGCAAGTGAGCGTTGCCGTAGCGGAGAGGGGTTCGTGCAGCTGCGAATGGGAGAGTCTGGGAGGGAGAGGAAACGGTGTGTGTCCAGTGGGCCATGATTGCAGAGCACGGAGAGCACGGCACAGTACAGCACGGCATCGGACCAGAGAATCCCTAGCCGCACGCTACCCTGCAGTTGTGGATGCGGGGGCGTTCCCTGTCCCTGTGAGAACATGTTCCGATATGACATCCCCGGCATCCCCTTTTGGACAACGCGATGTGAAGCATTTGGGAGAGCAGCTTTTCTTGCAGCTGGGATTTACTAATTCACCTGCCAACACAAGCGTTGTGCGTACTGAGAGGTGAGGCATGCATATTCTGGAAGCAGAAGCTCTGAGGATCACTGATGTTAGGCTTCTGACTCTGTTTGGCTCGAGGCTGCTGCGGAGCCAGAAATGTGCTGAGCTCCTTCGACTGAGACATCCGAGACGCGGAGACATCACCTTTCAGCCTGTACGCCGGACACATGCACCGACAACCTTGTAGTGCACATAGCCATCGTCCGTGACTTGGCAGTACTGCAGCAAGTCTTCCACCTGAGCCAAGGAGAGGTTCAGATGAAGTTCAGATGGCAACCACGAGAGTCACGAGAGTGTGAAAAGCAGAAAGAGGTGAGAAATGGAAAGCGAACGAGCTAGGCGGAATTAGGCATTTTCGGACTATCTGATTCTGACATTGCTCCGCAATTGCTCCGCAAGTGCTCCGCAATTGCTCCGCAAGTGCTCTGCAGTCGTAAGAACGCATTCCCGAAGCGCTCAGGCGGGCCTCGGGCTGTCCATACTGCAGGCCAAGGTTGGCCAAAGCCTCGACGCGATCAGCCAGCCCTTGTTCTTCCCCTCTTTCTTCTCTAACAAAGTTCCCCCCAGACCCCCCCCCTTCCCTGAACGATATCTGAAGGAACATGGACTGACACAATATGTAATATGTGCTGACTGTTGCCGACCCACCATTTTTTCGCCACATCAAGCACGGGTGCATACCTGTCATCCGAACTGTCATCACCTGTCATGAGCGCCAGCGATAGCCAGGCCCAATATTCGCTTCCTGCATCCTCTGAAGAGTTGTGAAGTCCTACTTGCCCGGTGCCCACACTAAAGCAGCCCGAGGCAGCTGCAACAGCTGCAACATGCCAACGACGGGCCGATGTCGCAAGTGCTATTGGGGTATTGAATAGAGTGTGTTTCGCAGGAGTGTCACGTGATTTTTGAGTCTGCGTAAGGCGTAAGATCTGCGTGAGCACGGTGTAAGCAGCCAAAGCCCACTAAGCCCGGCACGCAACTTTCAACAGACAAGGTATCGCCAAGTATGCCTTTTTGCCAATGGCAATGTATCCGAATGTATCCTGTAACAGTCAAGCCGGACTGGTCCGACAAAGCTTCGGGGACTGCTCGTGTTGCGGAAAGGTCACAGCATTCGCGGGGGCGCTGAAAAGGAAGGCGGCTGCCTATTCAAAGAAAGAAGTGCAAAAGCCATGGTGTCCCAGCCCACGGATACGAGGTGGCTGCACATGCCAGATTCGTGCAGTAGTGGCAGAGCCGCGAGGCAGGGCGAAACTCCATGAAACTCCGAGAAAGTTCCGAGAACCTTCGTGATCTTCGTGCAATTCGTCACATCAAGGGATCCTGAATGAACCTAACGATCTTCTGGGTTCAGAGTTGGTAGATTACCTGGTAGATGTTGGGAGTTCAGAGCCAGCTGGAAAATGGGTCTGAGTACAAAATCGTTTGGTTGATGTCGAGATCCTGCAGTTGGCAGCTCGTCTTCAGCAAAGTCAAGAACTAGGAGAGCGCAAGACAGCCAAGTGCAATAGGGAGGCTAACTGAGGCTAACTGAGGCTACCTGCTACCTAAGACCTCAATAACTCATGCTAGGCCACAAGATTTTAAGGTGGCCCAGTGCCCAATGCTGTAGCGTCCCTCTCGACTCCTCGACCCAGCCGCGTCAACAGCCCGGGCTCGCATCTCAGAAGCGCTACGTTTCGGGCGATGCTTCGCGAATGTGGAAAACATGCATGCCAGAGCTTCTTCAGCGGCCTAACAGTCGACTTCCGTCCACCATACGAGGGGGGGGGGACAACGTTGGCGCTGTTGGGTCCACGCTGGAATGCTTCTTAAGGCTTTTTCTCTCATCTCCCGTCTCCCGTCCCCGCGTCTCGCGTCTCCCGTCTCTCCCTCAATTTCTTTTCATCTTTGACTCTCCTCGTGAGCCGCCTTCGCAAAGTTCGATGAAGTGATGAGTCCGCGATGGTAGGTATCCACCTGCTAGCCAAAGCGAACACAGAGGGAACATGGAAGGAACCCAGACGGAACAAATACCCTTTCAAATGCAGAGGGCAAGAATATGGGGGGGCGGCAAGGGGGGGGGGGCTTGTCGGCAGCATGGCCTTCTGGAACTCTGCACACACGGCCTGCAGCAGGTACTCGCGTTCTCGGAGTAACCGGGCTCGGTCTATCCTTGCAAAAGCCAGCCAGCAATCTGAGGATCAGAATGCAGTTGCGCCGGGGCTACACTGACGCCAAGAACAAAACGATCTCCTGCTGCCATTGGCCATTACGGCCGCTGGGATGTGTAGTAAGTCTAGTGAGTGTAGTGTTGCTGGCCGAAAACAAGTTGCTGGCTGAACCCGCCGGTCTGTCACAAAGAAACTGGACAGCCTCGACATTTGCACCAAAATTCTCCATGAGTATTGGAAGAATATGTCAGTCACTCCGACAAACTGACCATGCTCCCTTTTTTTGCGTCTTGAGAAGGAGACGTGCGAGGCACAAGCGAGGCGCAAGCTGTGAAGTACGGCACCGAGAGGTGCCAACGAACTTTCTTTGAACAAGCATGTTCGAGCCCATGTTCAGGGTAGGGGATCAAAAAACATGTATTTAGGATCAAAACATGTTTTTTTTATAGCCGGATCAACAAAAAGACTTCTTGGGTATCAAAAAACTATTTACTGAAGGCTTCCAAGGCTTGTTGCAAGCGGAGCGGAGGCTGTACACGCTCAGAAATGCAGCATTTCTGGCCGTTCGCAAGCGCTAGATACCGAAAAACTCAGCATTTATGCGGGAACTACTGAAAATAGCGGCATTTCTGAGTTTCCAGAGGCTGCAAATACTGTAAATAGCAGCATTTCTGCGCTTTCATGGAAATACTGTAAATAGCAGCATGTCTGAGTTTCCAGAGGCTGCAAATCAATGCTGGCATCTTGGCATTAGAAGTCGCAAAAAAATGCGTTTACTCTGAAGCAAGCCAGAACGATTTAAAAAAGAGCGGGGGGTTGGGGGGGGTTGCCCCGCTCCCCCCCCCAATGCGCAAACACAATGCTCGCATCATGGGTTTCGAAAGTATGCTGAAGAACCTGTCACGACGGCGTCGAAAAGATGCGTATGCTTTGAAGCAAGCTGGCACGACTTATTCCTTGCCTTCTTTCTTTTGTTATTTCTTTCTTTTTGCTTTCTTTCTTTCTTTCTTGATTTATGCCTTCCTTCCTTCCTTCCTTCCTTCCTTCCTTCCTTCCTTCCTTCCTTCCTTCCGCCTTTCCGCCCTTCCGCCCTTCCGCCCTTCCTTCCTTCCCTCCCTCCTTCTCTTTCTCCCTCCCTCCCCTTCCCTCTCCCCGTCGGAAGAACAGAACAACTTCTTGATCCTAAACAAAATCTTCTTTGATCCTAAACACATTCTTTTGATCCTAAATAGATTTGTTTTGATCCGCGTGCCATGTTCAGCATGCTGAGCATGTTGGAAAGCGTTTAGCCACTCTTTAATCACCTGGTAGAAGTCCAAAAAAATCTCTAAAAGTACCTAAACGTCCTTGTTGGACGGCCTGTGGCTCTGGCCCAGTACGAGTCAGTACGAGCTTCCATACTCCGTCGCGCTTCGTTTGGATTTCTCTTCTTCTCTACCATGCTGCTCAAATGAACAGCTACTCCGTTTGCGGGGCTCGAATTGTGTGCTGAAGCTGAGTGAGACTTATGCTGCGCTCCCCCACGCACGAAAAGGGGCTCCTGAAGAGGTCCCCGTGCGTGCGCTTTGCACATTTGCACATCGTGCAGAGGCTGCAGATGCTTGCATGTCCCATTCGATTCTCTGAATTTGAAGAGACGTGAGATGTCTCGCGTCTCTTGGCGGCGTAGAGTCTCGTAGAGCGAGAGAGAAAGTTAGAAAGCTCTGGGCTCTCAGCTGGACTCTCGTCTATGCTCAGAGCGGCTCTCCATGGCAGACTCCATGGCTCTCCCATGGCTCTCCTCGCTGCCGCCGCCCAATGCGGTCCACAGAGTCTGGAAAGGCTTCGGAACTTCGGTGAAGTCAGTGGCGATTGCCGTGCATCAGATCCTGCGAATGAGGGGCATCTCAACGCAGATGTGCCACACCCCAAAGAGTTGCGTGTGGAATGTGACAGATGTCAGGTTTCATTCACACCGATGGAAAGAGAGAGGGGAGAAAGAGGGAGAAAGAACTCTGCGGCGTTTGTTTATTTTCTCTCTCACTCTCTCGGTCTCTTCTTCTTCTTATTCTTCTTCTTCTTCTTCTTTTTCTTCTTCTTCTTCTTCTTCGAGGCTTGGGGGCCCGGCGGACCCCTCGCGCAGCCGCGCGCCCAGTTCCTGTTCTCTCCCTCGAACCTCGGCAGAAGCTGCTCCCTGTCCCTCCCTATATAAGACTTCCTCGGACAGGCTGCTGTCTCACGAGCGGCCCGTTGACCCTGCCCATCCCTGCCCAGAGATTGTTAGGTGTGACACGCGTCTCGGGGTCTGTTTCATCGTCGCACCATGTATGCTCCGGACACCTGTCTCTCTCTCTCTCTCTCTCTTTCTCTTCCTTCCCGCCTCTCTCTTCTCTCTCTCTCTCTCTCTTTTTCTCTCTCTCTTCTCTCGGTTCCTTCTCTTCGTTTTCTCTCTCTCTCTCTCTCTCTCTCTCTCTTCTTGTCCTTGATCCCGTCGGGGGCGTTGCTGAAGTCCCCTCCTCGCCCGTAGAGCCAGTCCAGGCCTCTCTTCTTCGTGCTTGAAAAAGTCAGAGTGAAAGCTCTTTTTGGGGTCTTTTCTCTGTCTCTATTTTCTCTGCACTTCCTCATGGGGCGCCGACCGTAGTAATACAGAAGCGCGTCGCTGGCCATGTCGAAGACGGTCATGAAACACCTGAGAGAACTAGAACAAACAAAAAGAAAAACCAAAAAGACAAACACAAAGAGAATCTGTCTCTGAACGCGCGCGGAGCGCCGCGGGGCCCAAAGAACAGCTGAAGGACACGCCCAGAGATTCCTACAAACCAGAGAGCCCTTCTTGTTTTCCAGGAATGGCCTTGCTGCTCTTTTGCTGCTCTTGCTGCTCTTGCTGCTCTTGCTTGCCAGGACGCAGGGACACGGCACCCCCTATGAAGCCTGCAGCTACCGCCACAGCCACCGGCTGGTCCACGAATAGCCTCACAGCACTTTTCAAACCCCCACGAAGGCAATGCAAGAGTGAAGTGCGGTGCGCTCTTCCCTGTTGCACTCAATGTGTTCCGTTTGCCAAGCAACGGGGCATCCGGAGCCGAGAATGTAGGGGTGCTGGTCAAGAAGAAGGTCACGGCAGCGCAGCCTCAGAGGCACAGTAAGTCAACACAACACAGTGCTCGCATGACTCACGGTTGGAGCGCAGGGGGGTGAAAAACGCGGCTCCCCCCATTTGCAAACATAATGCTAAGTGAGTAAAAGGAAGCGGCGCGGTTGGGGGGTGGGGGGGGAGGGGCGACTGTCAAAAAGCGGGGGAGGTTGATAGGTTTCATGTTTTGAAGCAGCGCCTTTCGTAGGAGGTTCTTCCTCACAAGCTTTACAAGGATTTCAAGAGTGGGGTGACGCACCCCCCCTCCTTTTGCAAACACATTGCTCGTACGACTGAGGATCCAGGTTTTGAAGCAGCTCCTGTCGATGGCATCATGGGCAAGCTTAGCAAGGAATTGAAAAAAGCAGGAGGCTTAGGGGGGCGCACCCTTTCGGGTCTATGTCGCCTCTCTATTTTTTTATACTAATTAGCAAAGAACAAACTGCAAAATTTGCATTAACTGAAATTTTTGGGCTAATTTGAATCGTTTAAATCCCGATACTCAACGAAAAACCTTTAATTGAGGTGTCGGATTTAAACGATTCAATGGACCCCAACTAAATCGCGCAAATTCATTTGAATCGTTTAAATCGTTTGAACTCATTTAAATATATGCAAAACTGGGCAGACCAAGGTCCAATTCGATCGTTGACATCCGACTCCTCAATTAAGGCTGTACATGAAGTGTCGGATTTAACGATGCCTCAAATATATTGTTCAATTGAGGTGTCGGATTTTGCCGATTTGCTTGAGCCGTTTGAATCATTTAGATAGTCTAAAACGTTAATTTTTGCAAAGCTGCGGATCCTGAGAATCCATTGCATCGATTTAATCCGACACCTCATTTAAGCAACAAGTTGAGGAGTCGGATGTCAACGATTTAGTTGGACCTTGGTCTGCCCAGATTTTCAGATATTTAACTAATTTGAACGATTTCATTGAACCCCAACTACATCGCCAAAAACCCAACGCCGCACTGAAAATACCTAGTTGAGGCGTCGGATTTAAGCGATTTGCTCGAACCCACTTAGACCGTTGAAATCATTTACACCGTTAATTCGTTCTCATGAGGGCAGACGAAGGTCCAATTCGCCTGCCCCTTCTGCCGAGAAGCGTCTGGACCAAGCGGACCCGGATCCGGTCTCCTTCCCCCGAAAATAAGCCTCTTTTTCCATGCAGAAGTTTTGTGACCCCCCCCCCACCCCCCCCCCCGTGGGACCCCCCGCCCGATCGCTGCAAACCGACGCCGTGTCCGCCATGGGACGCCCCTGTGGGACGGGACCCCCCCTAGGCGTCATCTCCACATACTGCATGTTTCAAGACTCCTCAATGTCACAATACTTAAATGGGGCGTCGGACTTATACGATTGGAATGGACGCTGATTTTTTTCATGTGAATCGTTTACATCCCTTAATGCAGCTGGATGGGGTGGGGGATACCCCCCCTACCACCCCACCTGCCCACCCCACTCCCCCAACTTCGCAACACACCACAGCCCCGCCCAACCCCTTACACCCCCCCCACCCCACACCCCCACTCCTGACAAACCCCCCCACACCCCCTAAACGGAACATCAGCAGCAATTGCCAATGACATGCAGAATCCTGAGTGATCGTGCACTCCGTTTTCCTTTCCCGCCCTTTTTGTGCAGTATATTGCAGTATCGACTCGAGCCACCGTGAATGAAGGCTGCTCCGTCCCCTTTTTGGCTGCTCATTTAAGTGATTTGTGGCGATTCGAATCAGCTACCTGCTGCCCAAGACAAGAGACTCAAAAGATGTCTCCCTCAGCTTGGAATTGGCGACAAAGCTTGGCTTTCGCTTGGGCGGTCGTATCTCTTGAAGTCTTGAAGCATGTGGAGAAGTCGTTTTGCAAGACAGCAGCGGACTTGCTCGGAGATGCGTGGCGCGGAAGGTGGAGAAGGCTATGGTGGCAGTGGGATCCACCAACATGATGCAGAGAGCGAGGTATGGCTTGTTCATGATCAACAAGTTCATGCGGCTGGAAGCGTCGGACGCAGCGAATGTTTGAGGCAAAGCCCCAACGTACTAGCTGCAGTGGACGATGTGACCTCGGCCTTGAATGTCATGCGGTCGAGCGACCAGGCTCCCGACGATGACCTCGACGATGAGGAAGAAGTCATGACATGGTCTCGGGGCGCCAAGACGGCCTTACTCTCGACATGCGATCCTGGGAAAGGTTGCGCTTACGGCGGCGGGAAGAATGGAAGCAAGGCCGCGACGGCGAAGCTTGCCAGCGCAGGAAGGTTCTCCATGGCTAGCACCGGCGAACGCAAGCGCCAGATCGCCGTTGACCGAATCGTCCAACGTGGACCGTGGACCCAGTGGACCCGTTCCGCGGCGAGTAGAACGAGTAGAAGGAGTAGAACGAGTAGAACGAGTGAGACCAGGAGATGGTGCAGCGGAGCCGTGTGGAAGCCGTGGAGATCAGCCAGGTGGAGATTCGGGAGAGCTTGTGAGACATGGGCGAGCGGACAACATGGAGCGCATGATGGGAGCGATTCTGGGGGAGTTGCAGCGACAGCGCCAAATGAGAGAAGGGACACTCTAGTGAGATTAAGAAGTAGGTCACCAAGATCGAAAGAAGGCTCAGGCGAAGTTTTGTCTAACGAGCACAACGGCTTTCATCGCAAATGTTGGGAAGTTGCATGTGATACAGATGGCCATGAATATCACCCCTGAGATCGACTGCGTTTATGAGCACTGAGGCCGTCAGGATGTGCGACGAGCTGGCGTTCTGCCGATCGGATCATGCGCATGAGTTTCGGTCTTGCGTGGAAGCCCGTTAATGATTGGGAGACTGTGTTCAGAAGGCGCAAGGCTTCGGCCAGACTGACTGCTCGTGGCTTCGACGACCCAAAGCTGTTAGAGGTCCCTCGAGAATCACCAACACCTTCCCACCTAGGGCGGAATCTTCTCTCGACTCAATGTGCCAACAGGAGGTTTAGGGTGTCGGCTGGAGATATTCGAGCGGCTTTTGCGAGGTGAAGATACTGCATGGTGTCGACAAGTTCAAGCCGATCCACCATCCGAGGTCAAGCAACAAATATTGAGATGACGGACACAAGGCCTTTTACGGATTGCTTGACGCCCCAAAGAAATGGCATGCTCTGTCAAAGTTTTTGCTTCAGCAAGC